CTCCTCCTCCTCCTCCTCCTCTTCCCCCTCTCTCCTTGTCCTGCTCCTCCTCCTCCTCCTCCTCCACCTCCTCCTCCTCACTCTATTCCTCCTTCTTTAGCCTCCCCTCCTTACCCTTCTTCCTTCCGCAGGAGTCTCCGCAAACCTTCGAGATTCTACGAGAGCCCAAAATCTCAAGACGTCTGACGACGTTGGTGGCGGTCTTGGGCACCCCTGTCGCCGTCGACATCCTCTCACCTGGCCTGCTGCCGGGGGGAGGGTGGGCAACAGCATTTAGCTAGGATGCCGTAGCCCCCGCAGTGGCGGAGAAGTGATGGGACTGGGGAGGGGTCGTCGGCAGTTTGCGAGGCCCGAAAGCAAGTTTGCAGAAGCCCGCCGCGGGCGCCGATCGTGCCATCTGGCACAACGATCCCGCCACAGGTGCCGAGTTTTTGTCGAAGCGACGTGGGGGAGTCGCGGGCGGGTAGCGCGGCCGGTGGGTTTCGCGGGTGGGTCGCGGCGCGGGTGGGTCACGAGGTGGGCCGCGGGGCGGGCCGCGGGGTGGGGGCGACGACAAGAGCAAGAAGAATGCTAATCCGTACCGCGGAACCCCACTACAGCCACGCACCCAGGGACCGTGTAACATCGTTCGGCCCCCTCATTCGGATGAGTCTCAGCCGTGTTGGGGGGATACTCTAAAGGGACCTCGGCTATCCATAGGGGCGCGCTCTCTGGGCTCCCTGAGCGCTCCCCGCACCCTCCCTCGGCTCCCAGGATTCTCAAAGATGACCCCGAATATGCCAACCTGCGCCCTTTCTCGTCCATGACGCCCTCCAGACGGCTCAAGAGGCTCCCGAGACGCGCGAACGAGCCCCGAAGATGAGCCCCAAGAGGGCCCTAAGAACCACATCGCATGATAATGATGATTTGTTAGTTCCCGCCTGTTCGGGATTCCTACGTTCCAAGACGGCCTGCACGGCCCTCCGTGTCACCTCCAGACGGCCCCAACATAGACCAAGAGAGCCCCCATACAGCTCACCGAACCCTCGAGACGGGCTCCCCACACCGTCCCTGGCCTCCCAGGACTGTCCCAAGATGGCCCCGCTTCGGCCCAACTACGCACTAACAAGCCCATGACGCTCTCCAGACAACTCAATGGGGCTCGAGAGACGTACGAACAAGCCCCGAAGATCAGCTTCAAGATGACCCTAAGAGGTCAAGCACATTGTAATTTCATGGCTCTCGCACTTACGGGCTTCCTGCGCTCAAATACGGCTTGAAACGCCCCCAAGATCACCCCACGACGGCATCAAGACAGGCGAGGAGGGTCCCAACACAATCCATCGGGCCCCCCAAGACGAGCTCCGTGGACCGTCCCTGAGCTCCCAGGCCGGTCCAAGAAGGCCCATAACGCCCTCCAGACCGCCCCAGAGGCCCAAATTTGATTTTCCCAGGATGCTTGATGGGTTTTGTCTTTGAGTTTTCGCTGTTCGGCTCTCCAACTCTCCAAGACGCCCAAAGATGCCCCAAATATCGCCCCAAGGCGGTCCAAGAAGTCCCCACGAGAGCCCCCAATTGAGCTCCAATACAAGCCCAAGAGCGCTCTGAGACTTGCCACCATGCCCCCGAACCAGCTCAAGAGCGCGCCAAGACGCCCCGAGAGTGGCCCCAGAAGGGGAGACAGAAGCTGACACTTCGAGCCTCTCGCCCCGGAAGATGGCTCCCAAGACCGCCAGGAGGCCTCCTGAGAGACACACCCTGGCGGATCCGTCGTCGCCGTCGCCGCCCCGTCGCCGCTTAGCCTCCCATCTCTAAAAAGGATTTCGAACCTACCACCCTCCCCCCTATGATTTATGGGTCCACCCTGCGGCTATGCAGTTTACTTATGATTCAGGCCCGTCGTTTATTTTACATCTGAGTTCATACCATCCCAGCCAGGCCTTGTTCGGCCTTCGCTATTTATCTCTTGTAAGACGTACTATGCGTGCACATTCATTGATCATCAAGCATCAGTTTTAACACCCCCTTGCAACAGATAGGACAATGCTGCCACGCGCGCGTCGTCGCGCGCGTATGCTGAAATCCTTTAAACATTTTGGACTTCGTGCGGATTTCAACATCGAGGTTCTCGAAACATATGATGAGTTGGCAACGGTTTTTGCAGACTAACATGTTCATCAAAAGGTGACCAAGCGGGCCTCTCGCGCGCGCATGTCGAAATCATTCGAGGCCTTTGCGCGTGTGCCGGGGGGAGTCACGATCCCTGTCAAATAATTCCATGTGGGCCATTCGCGCGCGTCGGCCATTATCGTCGTCGGCGTGATCAGCATCGGTGCTGTCATTGGCCTTGCCGTCGTCGTCATCGTCATATCGTCGTCACCAGCATCGCGACTGTCACCATCGTGCCTGCCGTTGTCGACGTAAGCATGATACCGCGCTCGCCCGAGTCACCGGCTCGCATTGAAATGCCCGCGCGTCAGCGCGGCTTGCAAAGGGCGCGTTGGGAAGTCCCCAGCGGTCAGCGCCACCGCGGCCGCGTCGGTCGCGCCAGACTATTTGGCCACACGCCTCGCAAGCCTGCGCACGCTAGCGCGGCCGCAGCGATGCGCCAAGCAGCGCCAAGAAGTCATCGCAATCGCCGCCGCATGGGTTTTGCAAACCAGTTTGCGGGTGGGTGGGTGAGTTGATTGCGCGAGCAGAGGAGTTGATAACTTTAAGGTCGGCAGGGTGAGTGGCACCACGTAGATTGCACCACGTGTATTGCACAGCGTAGATTGCACAACATAGACGGCACCACATATGTTGCACCACGTAGATTGCACCACATTGGTCGCACAACATTCATTGCACCACGTAGAGTGTACAAAGTAAGATGCGCAGCACATATCGCACTGCATAGGTTGCAGCACCTATATATATATATATATATGTATGTATGTATATATATATATATATATAGGTATATTGCTGCACGTAAGCGGCGCATCGCAGATCGCAGTACACATACACAGCGTAAATTGCACCACGTATATCGCACCACGTAGATTGCACCACGTACGTTTGCACCACGTGGGCTGCACCACACAGTTTGCCCCACACATCTGGCGCAACATATGTGGTGAGTTATATCCGCGTGGATTGCAGTACATCGATTTCATCACAAATCGTGCACAATGTATATATCACACCATAGGATGCACAACACATCTCGCACACCAATTCTTGCACCACATATATAACACACCATATATGTATCCACATTTATCTCGCAACATAGGATGCACCACATATACTAGTCCACGTATGTAGTATCGCATATTTTGCGCACCATATATGACACATCATAGGCTGCGAAAACATCTCGTTTTGTGCTCGCATTCGTTCATCCAGATCGGTCGTTCCCGTCGCACCCCCCAAAATGTGTCGGTATGGCGGGGCTGGCGCTTCGCCCGAGTCTTCTCACACTATGTGGTCCTGAAGCTTGCACGTTGCAAGAGTTTCCAGGACTGAAAGGGGGGGGGGGGCCTGCTCTCCTCCTCCTCCTCTTCCTCCTCCTCCCCTTCCTCCTCCTCCTCCTCCTCCTCCTCCTCCTCCTCCTCCTCCTCCTCCTCCTCCTCCTCCTCCTCCTCCTCCTCCTCCGGGGGTCAAAATGTGGCTTTCGCCCTTGCGCCGCGCACGTCCGCTGCAAGCGTTGCCACGCAGCCTCGGGGGGCGGACCCTCGGGGTGGCTCGAAGCGATGCTCTCGCCTCGGCGCCGCGTGTGCGACGGCTCTCTCTCAGGACGCGGCTGCCGCCTCCGCACCGCGCTCGTTCGCCCCAGAGAAAGCAGCACTTTCTGGGCCGGCGGGGTTGTGGCTGTGGTTTTCAAGGTGTGGCTCCCGCATGAGCGTCGCGCGCATGCATTGTCAAAGCTCGCCGCAGGTTCAGAGATGGCGGGAGGGGTGGGGGCCGGTCTTCAAGATGTGGCTCCGCCCCAGTGCCGCGCAGATTCGCATAAACAGTTTATCACATTCCAAGGGGTGGCAGGGATATTGTTTTCAAAAAGTTTCTCTCGCCTCTCCGCTGTGCACATTCGTCTGGCTGTCCCTCTTCAAAGTGGCGCTCTCGCATTAGCGCCGCGAGCACGTTTCGACATCCCGCAACAGTCTGAATCACAGCGCTGGTCGTTTTCCACACGGGTTTCTCGCCTCAGCGCCGCGCGCATTGTTTTTTGATGCGAGGCTTCGCAGGATGCAGGGCAGTTCCTCTCGGCCGCGAGCGAGGGGGGAAGTGAGAAGGAGAAGGCTTTCTCAGAAGGTTCGGAAGTCCCCAGGCCTTCTGAGAAGTTTTCTAAGCCTTCACCGAAAACAGAAAACACTTCTCAGAAGGCGTGATGGCTTCTGAGAAGTCCCGCTGCCTTCGGAGAGGGCTTCTCCTTCTCACTTCCCCCCTCGCTCGCCGCCGGTTTTCACAATGGGGGGCATCGCTTGAGACGTCGTTAGTCCCAAAGGCCCGAAGCTTCCGCTCACGTGCCGCTACACGGACCCAGTGCAGGGCGAGTCTTTTGAAACATTGACCTGTCGCTTGGGATGTCAAGGAGAAGGAGGAGGAGTAGGAGGTGGAGGAGGAGTATGAGGATGTCCTCACAGTTAATGACCGCAAGTGTCCAGTCGTGCAACGAACAGTCACACTGGAGGGCGGACCTTCTTCAAAAGAGGTATCTCGTCGGACACTTCGTTGATCTGTAGGATCAGAGTCTTTGTTTTCGTGATTGCGCGCCAAATGTATGCGAGGCATTTTTGTTTATCAGTTGCCCTCTCACCAGAATTGCAGGCCCAGCTGTGCTGTCTTCTAAGGCTGGTGTGTGTTTAGGACAACTTAGAGGGGCGTATGTGGAGGTGACTTGGGACGGGAGTGTGTATGGCATCCTCGCTGACGCATCTTTGATTCATCCTGGTCCTCCTCCTCCTCCTCCTCCTCCTCCTCCTCCTCCTCCTCCTCCTCCTCCCTCTCCACCCTTCCCTTTCCCCCGTCCCCGAGAGGACTTCGAGCTCCCCGACGTGGTCGGCATCGTGCTCTCAACGCGCCTGAAGGACGACGTGCTGTCCGTCTGGAGACCCTCCTGCGGCGCGGGGGGGGCGCGCCTGGCCGCGTCCCGCGGGCCCCTCGGGCGCCCTGCGAGCCCTGCCGCACTGCTCCTGCCTGCCTTCCTCCTCCTCCTCCCCTCGAGCAGACCAGGACTTCCCTCGTCGAGTTCCTGGGCTTGCCCGGTGCAGAGCTACGAGCAACGCAGCGGGCGGTGTGATGACCTGGAGTTGGTTCTCGCAGGCTCGAGATGTCGTTTTGCTTGATACTGACGCCGTCAGGAAGTCATGAAGTTTGCTTCTGCAGTTCAGGCACCTTTTTGCCTCTGCTTCGACATGAGATACTTCTCTGGTTCATGGTTTTGCCTGTCGCCGCGGGCCCTCGCACCCCCACCCTCCCCCCCGATGGAGTAGATCTTGGCTTTTTTGGGCGCCTGTTTCAAGAAGTGGACTGCTCCCCACAGGATCCCCCATGGGAGCACGGTTCCGAACAGTCGCACCCAGCAGAGGTCCGGAGCCAGACCCCCCCCTTCCCCCCCCCCTTCCGCTCGCTCAGTGTCGAAACTCCGAGTGAGACAACGTTCACCGTGTCGTTTGCTTCCGCAGACGCCTTCCGGCTGCCTCCATCCTGCAGGCTTCGGGTGCCCTGCAGGCCGCTTCCTCGCGCCGCGGAAGGGCCGCGATGGCGGCTTTTTTTCCGAGTCTTCGCCCCCCGGTGGGCCCTCGCCGGGCCCTGGGGCAGTCGACGGAAGGGACCCTCGGGGGGCAACGACTGGGGGCGAATGGCCCAGGGGGAGAGCAATGCACGCCGAGCGTTTGAAAGTAAGTATTTTTTACCCAATCTGCTTCAAGCGTCCTGCTTCAAGAATCAATATGTTTTTGTTGTCGTTTGCTATTCTTTGGGCGGGTCCGAACCCAAACGGCTTTGTCCGTCTTCCTACTTCATGTTTTTACCTACTTCTCCGACCGACGTGTACAAGTATCCAGGGGCGTCGATGGTCCACGCCTTCGGCGAGGCTCCGGGCGAATATGCGTAATGCCCGCCCCTGGGCTATGCGCTCCTATCGTCGCCGCCGAGATCAGGATGAGAAGCCGGTCCCAGAGAAGGGGTCGAGACCTCTGGGGGTCCACGCTGCTAGAAAGCACGACCTCGGGGCTCTGGGCAGGTCGCCCCCGCACGGCGCGAAGATGACCGCGCTTCGCGAGTCGCGGTCTGGGCCAGAGCGGCTGCCCTTCTGCAGGTGGGCGGTGCGAGGGCTCGAAGATGATCACGCGTCGCGCATGGCGGGGCGCGATGCGGGAAGTTAGGTGACCTAGACAGCTGGGCCAGGCCTGCTAGCTTTCCTGCTAGGCCGCGGCTAGGTCCAGCGTTTCGTAGGTTCCTCGGGCGTTTCGTTTTTTCGTCGAAGACTCGATGTGGGGTTTGCCTCCTCCCCCTCCAGCCTCTTCTTCTTCTTCTTCTTCCTCTTCTTCGTCTTGTTATTCAGATCTTTCTTATTCTTTATCTTCTTATGATTATTCCTCTTCTTCTTCTTCTTCTTCTTCTTTTTCTTCTTCTTCTTCTCCTTCTTTTTTTCATTTGCCTCCGTTATCGTCGCCCCGTTCACCTCCCCGCTCCCATCCTCCCCCACCCTGCCGCCCACTCCATCCCCTGCTCTCCGCCCCTCCCTCCTCGTCTTTCCCCCTCTCTGCCTCCCTATCGCCGCCACTGTCGCCCTCCCTTCCCCACCCCTCTCGGACCCCTCCTCCCTGGTGCTTGCTCTGGGTCCTGGCGAGCCTGCTTTTCTCTGTGCCGCCCTTGGCCGGGACGGCGAGGATGTCGACCACATCCCACCATACACGCATTGAGGGGGCAGACCTTGCAGCGACGGACGGTCGGGAGAGGGGATCCCACCGACGAGGGCAGTTCCCCAGGGTCCATCTCGATCTGACTCGACATCGATTTCGGTCGGCCCAGTCCGATTCGATTCCGATAATTACCTCGACGACCCGAGGCAGCCCGATGCCTGCACGGAGCTGCTGTGCGCCCTGACGCGGCTAGCTCGATCCGAGCTCAGACCCCGTGCCGATCCGGTCCGACCTCACGATCCGACGCTGGCTGCCCTTTCCTCCTGCTCGCCGCAACCAAGGAAGAGGAGGAGGAGGGGGCGGATGAGGATGAGGATGAGGATGAGAAGGAGGAGGAGGAGGAGGAGGAGGAGGACGAGGAGGAGGAGGATGACGAGGAGGAGGAGGTGGCTGTTGAAGGAGGCGGAGGAGGAGGAGGGGGAGGAGGAGGAGGAGGAGGAGGAGGAGGAGGCTGGAGGAGGAGGAGGAGGAGGAAGGAGGATTAGAGAGAGGGGAGGAGGAGGGAGGCGGGAGGGAGGGGGAGGGAGGAGTGAGGGAGGGAGTGAGGGAGGGGAGGGAGGCAGGCGGGGAGGAAGGAGGGAGGGAGGGAGGGGGAGGGAGGAGGAGGGGAGGGGAGGAGGAGGAGGGGAGGAGGAGGGAGGGAGGCAAGCTAGGTGCGCTCGCGTCATATCTGACATCCTACCCCTCCCTCCCATCCCTTACCATGGCGT